AAAAAAAAAAAAAAAAAGTGGGTGGGGAAGGTATCAGATGAGTGTTGTCGCCTTGACTCAAGAGACAGCGACACCTTTGGGTACTGCTGCTGCGGGTGAGTTGCGGCTCCCCATGTGCATCGTTGCGCGCACACTAATCATCCCAGCGCCTTCAGGGGACTGTCGTGGTTGGTGGCGGCAAAGGGCTCGGTCCAATGTCTGAAGTGTAGCACTTTTTAGGAGAAGATAATAACCAATAGCTCTTTTTTCGCTATAAATTCAATCACTTATTTTTCATGGGAAAGAATGGGGGATCATCTTATAATCCAATCACATATCACCACATCATGTGTATGTAAAACCTATTATACACATGTAGCACATTCTACTAATTATCCACATGGTCACTATGAATTATAATATCATGTATGCATATCATGTGAGTATACTCATGCTCGAAATTATCATTAATAATTTATTGATAGCAGTGTTTGTTTTCTTTTACATTAAATAGGTAATTAAATAACATTAAATATCCAACAGATTTTTAAGTTTACATTAAATATCTTCATAATTATAAACAAGTTTCTAGGTAAGGAAATGCTTCCAATTTCATATCAAATTATAGCTTCCTTGACATTCTCTTATTTGTCAAAATTTGTGTCATTGATTGTTTAAAGTGTTGTTAAAATAATGTGTAAAAAATTGTCGCACTTTACAAGAATGTCAAATTCTTACATGATACATGCAATACTGATGAAATTTATAAGCTGGAACAGGTCTCTAGATGGGGTTTAATTCCCTTTTTTTTTTTTTTTTAATTTTATTTTTACTACCTGGACTCATCTCTAAGATGTGGACCATAGTTTTATTTCAACGTAAATTCGTTTTATCTTTCAAGGTTAAGAATCAATGCTCATAAACGTGTCTAATTAACATAAATAAAATATCAATTTTGTGTTTTAAGTAGGGTTAGACAAAACTCTCGAATTAAACCGGACCGAACTAAATTGAGCGATTTTTCATAAATTAAATACCCGAACTAGTATTTGAATCGAGAATAGAAGGGTTCGATTCTCGGTTTTAAACCGAAAAATCGAATAAGAATCGAATTTAAATAATTTTTTTAATTTTTTATATTGATTAATTATTTTTTTTTATTTTTTCTAAACAAATTAGCAAATTAACTGATTTAGTAATTAATGTTCTAACTCCCAAGCCAAGTTTATGTCTAGCTAGCTCAATCCAACCCAATTTCTAAATTCAATTTTTTTATTTAACTTTTTGGTCCTATTATTAATTTCATTCTTAGCCCAAGATTTAGGTTTTTTTAAATTTTTATCATTCTCATTCCAATTTCACACTTTCATTCGATAACCACTGAGTCAATGACCCCAAATCATTTCATAAACTGAAAACTTACATCTACATGTCCAAATCGAAATTGCTCACTGCCGAGTCCGACTTCTCCTCTCCAATGCACATTGAAGCCACGACCTCCAATCACGACCATCGATCATTGACCATTAAAAATCTGTTAAAAAATTTAATTATTGTAAGGAACCGAATTGAACCAAACTCGAACGGTTTCAAAATTATATTTGAACCCGACGATTCCATTTATTACATAACCAAAAATTTTAGTTCGGTTCGGTTCGATTTGATTCTCTTAAAAATCGAATCGAATCGGACCATATCCAGCCCTAGTTTTAAGTAACATAAGTTTGGGATGAAATCTTACGTGTTTGATGAAAAATGCTGACTTAATAATACCATTAAGCTTTAAATCAAGTACAAAAAACAGTGCAAAAACCTGATTAAAGACATGTTTAATTTTATATATCATACCCTATTTTTGAAGAGAACTTTATAAAAGCTTGTCTTATTTTACCTTTAACTTCAATTTTATTTTTTATACTAATCAGCAAATTATTTTGTGCTAAAATGCAAAATATCCATTTTCAAATCTTTGTCAATAAGATTTAAGACCTGATTGGTGTAGAGTTTTTAAAAATAAATTTTGCAAAAAATAATATTATTTTATTAGGAAAATGTATGATTGAAAATGAATTTTTTAAATTATAAATTCTAAATAATTTGTACCAAACATGGACATATGTCTAATGTTTACTTCTTGATATCAACATATTCCTACGATTAATTTCTTATTTATTCGTTAATTGTATGCTATATTTTAATTTATTTATGGCAATTATATTTTAATTCTAGTGTAGTTCAATCAATAACTACTACACATAATATGATTTCAATAGGTAAATACACTTTGATTTGATTTCAATCAAATAACATTACTTTATTTTGATTTCAATTAAGGCAACTTTGTCAAATTTCACTAACGAAAACCGATGGGTTGACAACTAATAAATAATGAATAACATACTTAACCATTAGTTGCTAACGTAAAATATGTACAATTTCTTTAAAATAAATGACATGCATAATTTATTAAATGCTAAGTTAACGTCATTATGGTTCATGGATCCAATGACGTAATTTGGAGTTATTCAATTGAAATAAAATTAAAGTCTCACTGCCCGATTAAACAAAATTAAAGTATAATTACTTGAGTAAAAGCATGCACTTTAACTTTATTAACGGAATAGTATAATTGCATATCAATATTACTTCTTGATTCAATCCCCTTATATTGGTAAATATAGTGGTAACTAGTTCACTATGCCCCTATTTGTGTTTCATTTTAATTTTAATACATTTTTTTCTCTCTCTTCTTTTCAACCACACGTTTTTTAATAAAATAATATTACATATAAAGTATAAATCGAAATATTTTCCTTCTTTTTTGACCACACGTTCTTCGAGAAATCGTTAATATTTCAAAATACATTTTTTTTCCTAATCCCATTAAAATGGAGTCCGAACAAGAACAACATGTGTTATGTACCTAAATCCTTTGTACAAAAAGAACAAGAATATGGTACTTGTCAAAATTCACCATGGCAATATTATCACATATTTTTGTTTACTTCTTTCTTAATTTTGTTTAGTGTAAAATACTGGATTTGGATTATTTTGAAACCTCGAAATTTTATCATTTAATACCATATCAAGACCACCTAGATTGGGGTTGCAACTACAGTGGAACTAAATAGCATTACTCATCTTTATATTTAGACAATTTCAAGATCAAGTGAGAAAATTTGGTTATAACTAGATAAATAGAATAAGGGTATATTAGTAAATAAACAAAATAAAATATTCTTCATAAAAAAAAAACTATATAATTGTGACAAGATAATAAAGAAAGTCAGCTTATATAAGTAAGACAATTTGAGTATTTTTTATCTGAACTATCCTCAATGTAGGATAGTTCTTTGGTGAAGGTTTTCTTCCCCCTTTCCTCTCCTACCTCTCTCTCTATTCTAACCCCAACCCTAATACCTCGCGAGCCCGACGGGGGGTGGGAGTTTCGGCTCCCACCTCTCCCTTTTTCCCTCCCCTTCTAGTTTTCCTTTTGTTTTTTTTTTCAGTTGCCTGTGGTCCGCTGTGTTGTGGCAGGCATGTTTTGGGCGGTGTGGTGGTTTGGATCGGTAGCTTTGGGTGGTTGTTTTTCGCGGTGATTTGGTCGGTGAGAGGGGTGTGTGAGTTTCGGCTTGCGGTCTCTTGAGGTCAGAGATGGCGAAGACTTCTGCTGTTGGGCTTGGTCGGCGGGCCCTTTTGGCTGGGTTCCAGCGGTGGCCGTGGGTTGGAGTATGGGGGTGTGATGTGTGTGTGTTGTTTTCGTTGGTGGGGATTTGGTGGTGTTTGTTTGTTCGTAGATCTGTTTGTTGTTTGTTTGGTTTTAGTTAGTTGGGTGTTATTGATTTGTGGTGTTGTTTGTTGTGGGGCGGTGTTTGCTGTTTGTTTGTTTGGATGGTGTTGGGTTTTGGTTTGGTTGTTGGTGGTGTTGGTGTGTTTTGTGCTGGCTGTTGAATCTGGGTTCACTATTAAGACTCTTTCCATTAGAGTGCTCTCCCACTCTCCAGTGGGGTTTGAAGTATTAGACAATGCTCGTTACTTTGTTGCGGGGGTGCTTAAGTGCTGATTGCGTTAGTTGGCTTATAGTTGGGATTCCAGTTTGTTTAGTCACATTTGTTACTTCGCTGCGGGCCTCTTCCACTTTCGGCCTTTGTTATTGGGCTTTGGTGTCGTTTGGTTGTGTTATTGTTGTTAATTGTTTCGTTAGTTTTGTTGTTGTTTAGTTTGTCTTTGTAGTCACTTTTGTTGTAGCTTTGGTAACACTTAAACTCTCTTAGGAGAGCATTGTGTTTGGGGTTTTCCCCATTGTATCAGCTGTTTGCTACTTTAATGGATTTACAATTCAAAAAAAAAAAAGAGGTAAATTTATTTATGAAAATCTTATTTTAATTCTATTATCAATCGAGTAATCGTATTTCAATCAATAACTACACATCAATATGATTTCAATAGTTAACTATATTTTGATATGATTTCAATCAAATAACATTATTTTATTTTGATTTCAATTAAGGTAACTTTGTCAAATTTTATAACAAAAATCAATAGCTTGACAGCTAATAATAATGAATATCACACCTAACCATTACTTGCTAACATAAAATACGTACAATTTAATTAAAATGAATGACATGCATCATTTATTGATTGCTACGTCATTAAATTTCATGTACCCAAGTGACGAAATTAGGAGTTATTCAATTGAAATGAATTAAAGTGTCACTACCTGATTGAAAATAAATAAATATAATTACTCAATTAACACTGAGTAAAACTATGCACTGTAACTTAATTAACCGAATAATCTAATTGCAAATCAAAATTACTTCTTGATTCAATCAAATTATATATTTGGCAAATTATATTGGTAAGTTTAGTACGTAGTAATTTGTCAACTACTATGCTATGAGGTAAAAATATTGTCCTAAAATCCTTTGTACAAAGAGAAGAAGAATATGGTAATTATCAAAATTCATCATGGCAATATTATCACGTATTTTTTCCTTGTTTCTTAATTTTGTCTAGTGTAAAATACTGGATTTGGATCATCGTGAAATCTCAAAATTGAAAAAATTACCACCTCCAACATCTTACTGCAAGAGTGATAGGGATTTTTGAAAAATGATTTCATAAATTTGCCCACGTGCATATGGTTTAGGAGGAAACATTGTGTAGTACTAGATAGCGAGAACTCCTACCTGAAAATTAAATCACCAGTCTTTATATATCACCTAGGTTTCCCACTTATCACTCATCCTTCTCCTTTCTCTCTAGGGTTTTTCTTTGTGCTATATATCAATTATTTTTTCCTTGTTTTACAATTGGAGATTTCTTTGAAATGGGTAGGTCCCCTTGCTGCGAGAAAGTAGGCTTGAAAAAAGGGACATGGACAGCAGAGGAAGACCAAAAGCTTCTGGCTTACGTTGAAGAACATGGATACGGAAATTGGAAAACCCTCCCAGCACAAGCTGGTAATTTTATGAATTTCATGCATGCAATGCTCTTTATCGAAAATATATATAGGATTGAGCTGCAAATATGTAAATAACAATCTTATAAATGGCATGAAATTTTTTGACTTCAGAAATTTTTTTGGTCACTTGGCATATATAGGGCTTCAGAGATGTGGTAAAAGTTGCAGATTTAGGTGGGCAAACTATTTGAGGCCTGATATTAAGAGAGGAAAGTTCAGCTTACAGGAAGAGCAAACAATCATTCAACTACATGCTCTTCTTGGAAACAGGTATTTATTATCAACTGTGCTACAAAAAGGTGAATGTCAGATTTTTTTACGGATAAACACTTATCAAAAATTTGAAGGAAGTTCAAGGAAAAAAAAAAAGAAAAACCCGCCAATCAAAATCTGCCATTACAGCACCTGGAAAATGGCCACTGAGCCTGTTTCACCAATTTAATCCATTTATTATAATCTGATAATTATTGTTCATGATCCAAATTTGTCTGAAACCAAAATAATTCCCTTAACTTGAATTTACCATTCTTGGTCTCTCCAAAACCCCACACACAAAAAAAAGGGCAAAAAAAAAAAAAAAAAGTACCATTTCAAGACAGTGTCTGTACTAGGCAATATCGTTTTCTTTCTGCAACAAAATTGAGTGTTGACGGTCATAACGTACTAAATCTCCTGGGAGTATATGTCCTTCTTCACGTACCATAATAAATTTCTTCACCAAAAGTTTTAGAAATTTGCTACTTGTACACACTTGGTACACAATCCTCACACATGTGTGTGGGGTCCACATTGTAAGATCCACACACATGTGAGAGGGTTGTGTAGGAGATTGTGTACCAAGTGTGTACAAGTAGCATTACTCAAAGTTTTATAGTGTAACTAACCTTTGTCAGTGTAATGCTACATGGAAGCCCTTCATCTAAAAACTTGAACTTCACATCATAGGCTTTTAACCCATTATGAGTATGTTTACTATTATTGTACAATATACATTACTGAATAAACATCCATTTATCTAAGTTTTCATGGGTACTTAACTGTTTACGATTTGATTATTACGTACTGTGCAAGATGGTCGGTCATAGCAACTCACTTGCCAAAGAGAACCGATAATGAGATAAAGAATTACTGGAACACACATATCAAAAAGAGATTAAACAAAATGGGAATTGATCCAGTGACTCACAAACTGAAGATCCATGCCCTCAGCACCAATCAATCCAAATACACGGCCAATCTCTACCACATGGCTCAATGGGAGAGCGTTCGGCTTGAAGCAGAAGCCAGGTATTGAGTCCCGAGATTCTTTTAAATTGTCAACGTTGTTAAGAAGTGGAACTCGGACCATTATATGTATTGCTTCCCTATTTAACTGGTTTGATTTTACTTAATACCAGATTCATCCATCAGTCAAAACTTGTTTCCAACCCTTACCACTCTCAGGTGCCGCTCCTCCACAAAGCCACTGTTCCACCACCACTAGCACCGCCACTGCCGCCAAGGCCACCATGTTTAGATATACTTAAAGTTTGGACAGGTGAATGGGCAAAGCCCGCAAAAGATATGTCTACAATTTTTAATGAATTTTCCCCCACATTGAACTTCTCATCAAAGAACAAGTTCAGCACCATTTCTACCACAGTTGGACATAGTGATAGTTCATCCATCATGCCGATCAGCGACGTCGGAAATTATTTTCATATGATCAACGGAAGAATAATGGATCCTATTAATGATTCCATTTATATTACAAATTCTTTAAATGTTCCAAGTTTTATGAAGAGCTTTACAGATCTTCTGCCTAACATGGATGGTGTCACTGACAACGATGTTGGAAGCTATGATGGTTCCAAGAGAACAAGAATTATTGGTGGAACAATGAACTAAATTCGATGACATTGCCAATGGGTTCGCGTGTGTTCTAACAGACAAATTTTATGATGTAATGGTGCAACACGAGACTGATATAAGAATATGTACTCAACCATGTATGCTTATAACAACTATGTAATTTACTTCGATAAATTTCAGGATTCCCTTCAAGCAATGAGTTTGAAACTAACCAACAGCTGCAGCAATACTACACACCGTGTATGATTTGTTGTCCCAATCCACCGACAGAGTAAGTTATTTTCTATTGCTCCTTTAGCTGTAGGTCACGCTGAGACTCTTCAAAATTTGTACTATGTTTATTTCATAAATAATGATATCTAGCCCCACGAGTTCTACAACACCCGTCTAAGTGCACAAGTTTAATTAAAGGTAGCATTATGTGATCTAGTTAATGTGGGAGATATTACACCGATAATGTGCATATTATATTCATCAAGAGCATGCCATTAATATGCATGAAATCGAAACATCATTCGACTTACCGAAATCTGATTTGAGAAGATAAAATAGTGATTACCGACTTCCAATATATGAATATGGATTCATCACTTTCCAATCTTGAACGCGTGTCATTCTTTAATTCAAACCTTGCATGAAATCAAAAGAATATTAGTTACTTACCGAAATCAAAACACTAAATTGGAATGAAATCGAAAAAGGAAGATGAGATGCAAGTGATGCGATCGGTCGAGGCAAGTGTTTGACACTTTGTCCTTAAGATGAATTTGCCCCGCATCGGTGCTAACGGTTTCTTGGCAATCATCTCCCAAGATACAACGACCACGTCTAGCCATAGGAGCACTCCAAATGACTTAGACCCACGAACTCGAACGGAGTTCCCTCTCTACCATAACCATGATTTTGATGCAAGAAAAAATCACTTCTACAAAGTGTTTTATGCAAAACTAAAGTAACCATGGAATGGAATGATATGAAACTATCAAATGAATAGTTTGTTGTGTAGTTGTGTTGTTGTTGTGAATCCAAACACATAGGGAATCCATATATATAGTAGTTGGAACATCCATATCAAGAGACACATCTCTTGAATAATCATAATTATTGGAAGTTACTCATACCAAAAGTCATGCTCTTTAAGCATCTCTTGAATAATCATAAATATTGGAAGTTACTCATACCAAAAGTCATGCTCTTTAAGAGACATGATCCATATGAAAAGACACATCTTTTCATCTACATTCTCTAGAATATTCCACAATATTCTACACAATTCCAATAATTTCAAGTATTAAGTGGTTTAAGTTTGGCTTAATTTCTCATTCACCAAACAAGGAATTTCCACTTAAATCATTTCAATTGGTCACAACCAATTTCCAACACAAAATTCCAACAATCCCCCACATGAATGAAAATTAATGCAAATGACTATGCAGACACTAGTAGAGAGAGAACGGGAAAAACACTGCATCAGAGAAGGTAGCTTTTGGCTTTGAACCTCCCTTAGTGAAATACTATCGGACTTACTGGCTAATTGGTGAACGTGATGTCTTGAACCATTCAGCCGTTGGTGTAAGCCAAGACAACAGTACTCACACAATGTCTTCCCTAAACCGTTCATGGTTCTCACGGTTGTGTCCATTTTGGCCCTGGACCACTCTTGGTTTCATAAGTGTTTAGAGAATTTTAGCCTCGAACAATTCTCATTGAAGCGGCCCCACTTCACACTTATATAGGTGATCTCCTATTAAGAGTATTCTCTCTTACTCTACTTGACTTAATCAAGATATAGGAATCATTAAAAGCATAGCTTAACCTCACACTTTGCAAAAAGCACTGTAATTATCATAGGAATGAGTAGGAATAATTTCCTAAGTGCTTCATGGAATCTTCATAATTTAGTTGTCCCTTTGAACCAAGATCTTGGGATCTCCAGTCAACAAGGTAGGGTTACCATTACAAAGACTCTTACGTCGTAGGCTTTAATCTCATTCCCCTCGATATGCAGTATTCTTGATCTCTCGGTAAATCTCTAAAGGTACCACGAGTTTACACCATTGAGATCGACTGCTTAACGGTATTATGTCTACGTCTAGACTTACCATTACATGTGACTTAGTATCTCATCAAATATAGCTAACCAACGATCAATTGATTTAATAGATACAACATGTCACCACCAAGAAATCCTCTCATGAAGCTACATGCTTCTAACTAGCTTTATCTAAAGCTTTACAAATTCCAAACAGCAATGTTGGAGGATTTCTATCACACACTACACTAGTCAATCACTTTTACTAGTGGATTTCAGAAACATGGGTATTCAATATCATTATTGAAATATTACAATGCATTTCAATTTTATGAATATTCTTCACATATTCCAATTGATCTTGCATATCCAAACAAACGCCGTAATTGGCTTTTATCCCATTTCATCCACTTTAGACTTAGTGTATAATTTCCTTATAATTTATATAAGGGTTTTCTACCTTTTCACCTTCATAGATATATTTCTATGATTGTAACTTTTAAACATAAGTTACCCCCACAATTCCTCAATTAGGAATGTATGTGCAACTAATAATGTTGCTACCACAAATCTTGAACTTTTCATATAAGTTCGCAAGCATTGATGTTAACCCCCCACATTTTTGACTTGCACTTAGAGTTCATCAACTCTTTCGTAGTTCAACTCATTATCGAATAGATAATGTCCATATCGAATGCTTCGTGAAAGTTTAAGTACTTTCAAAATAGTGGTCGTCAACCCACAATTTATTTCAATTGCGTACTTCAATCCAATTATCTTCAATTTGATCATCCAAATCAAATTAAGGTCATCACATAGACCAACAATGCTCTCAAAGCATATACCAATTTAATTGGTTCCACGATTGAAATGAAATTTCAACAATGAAGAAGACTAAGTATCTTGATTGCAACTTCTCCAACATATCACATTTGTGACCTTTCACAAGATAGTATTATTTCATGTTAAATAATACTTATTCACCATGTTCAAATTTAATGAACGAATCATCCATCGGTTTGATAGTTGTGTTCTCAAAAGACACAACCCAACGAGAGGACACGCCTCTTCGAATCAATCTCTATGAAGAGATAATCATTTCCGAGAGTCTTGATTTTTCCACCACGTGATTAGGCGACTCTTAATATCCATTATGACAAGATCATATATTGTCATGCTAGAATGCAACCATAATTTGCATAAGCCATCTCAATTAATTTCATCAAATTATTGAGGCTTTCCATATTCCAATAAAAGGAATAATCATGAAAGTTCATATACTTTCAATAACTAGTTGGCATTCTTCCAACATTTATACAATCATTGTATAAGTTTATTCCATTTTAGTCAACACATGTCATGACTAGGAATATCAATATCTTGAGGAACTCCACACACTTCCTCATTTAGAAATATAGTCATTGATCTCAATCTCGATCAATTAAATTATTCAAGACCACACGGTCAACCATTGATATGGTACAAACCTCGAACATGTCATATTAGTTCGATAAATTATTGAACAACATTCAATAGAATTTGATTATTTCTCATCTCAGTATCAATTTCACATGTGTGCAATAATAATTCAGATGTAACATGCATACACGTACCACATAACAACAAGGGTAATGAAGAACCCCTTCATATTTCATATTTCTTTTTTTTTTTTTTTGTTATAAACATCAACAATAATGTTTCCATGGTAGTTATGAAATGAATGGTCATCGAAATCATAAATTAGACAACTTTCCATACTCATCGAATATCAAGAGACTATCACCATCAACCAAAGTTAGTACAATTTCCAACATGAAAACATGCATCCTCAAGTGAGCAAGTGGGAGCAATATATATTAAATATTCATGAACGGAAACTATTTTCCTGCCAAGTAATTTCCATTTCCAAACCATGCAATTGAAAAAATGTATACTTACATTTATTTACAAACTGCCAATGTTTACAATTTACTTGGAACATGCAATAACAAAATCAGATTTTATATTGCATTAAAAATGAAACATTTAGTAGAATCTCTCATAAGAGATTTCCTTTGGAAATCATATAGTAAGCAATAATCAGCATATGTTAAGAACATATATGACATGGTTTCACACATTTTCATAAAATGAACAGCCAGCACTTTTATTTGAAATACGAATAAATTGCCAAAAATCAATCTGCCATTCTTTCCAATTTGCCGAACAGAGGTGCCAGTACCATTTAATATACACAGAATTCAGAAATTAATCAGATAATTCTATGAGAATATAGATTTAAATATCAGCACCGTTTCAATTTACATGTCTTCGGAATTTCCATACAATATCATGATTTCCATATAACATGCACATAACAAAATTCATCTTAAGATTGTAGGAGATATTACACCGATAATGTGCATATTATATTAATCAAGAACATACCGTGAAATCGAAATATCATTCGATTTACCGAAATCTGATTTGAGAAGACAAAATAGTGATTACCGACTTCCAATATATGAATATGGATTCATCACTTTCCAATCTTGAACGCGTGTCATTCTTTAATTCAAACCTTGCATGAAATCAAAAGAATATTAGTTACTTTCCGAAATCAAAATACTAAATTGGAATGAAATCGAAAAAGAAAGATGAGATGCAAGTGATGCGATCGGTCGAGGCAAGTGTTTGACACTTTGTCCTTAAGATGAATTTGCCCCGCATCGGTGCTAACGGTTTCTTGGCAATCATCTCCCAAGATACAACGACCACGTTAAGCCATAGGAGCACTCCAAATGACTTAGACCAACGAACTCGAACGGAGTTCCCTCTCTACCATAACCATGATTTTGATGCAAGAGAAAATCACTTCTATAAAGTGTTTTATGCAAAACTAAAGTAACCATGATATGAAACTATCAAATGAATTGTTTGTTGTGTAGTAAATCCAAACACATAGGGAATCCATATATATAGTAGTTGGAACATCCATACCAAGAGACACATCTCTTGAATAATC